TTTTATTATTTCCATTTTAGCTTGGATTAATGCTATTATAAACTGGAAATAATTGTTAAATTTAAGCTTAATAACTGATAATTTGCTGAATGTTGAATATAACCATTTAAAGCTCGAATTAAAAATATTCAAAATAATAAATGTGTATATATGTACATAAATACAAATATGTACATACAAATATGTCGTATATATTCTAATATATTATTTTATATATTATAAATTAATTTGCAAGCGAATGCAAATTGTGCGACCAGTTGGAAGTTTGTTTATTCACTTCGTATAAGGGGGGCTCGTTGCCAGAAAATTGAGTCATCAAATGGCTAGAAAACTTGGATGTTTTCCAGGCGCTTCAAATCTTTATAGCTCACAAGTAAAAGCTTATGACTTACATACATATGTACATGTTAATATATGTATGTATATACACATGTAGGTATTTGTGTGTGCGTGCATGTAAGTGTTTTCGCTTTTTATCGTTTCGTTTCTTTCCCCTTGATTTGTTATGCGTCGTTTAATTTGATTTCAAAACAAATAAGCGTAAAATGAGGAAAGCAGCGATAAACAAAACTAAAAAGCAAGCAAACCAACCATCACACACACACACATACACATCCATACACTTACGAAGTCAGGCCTATGAATTGTATCCGTATCTGTGCATCTACAAAGCAAAAAGTGAAAAACAAAGCACAATAATAATACCAACAACAACAACAACAGCAGCAGCAGCAGCGGCGGTAGCAAGCGAATCAAGACAACACTCAAATAATCCGCTGCGGCACAGCCCCCATGCGAAGCCGCAGCGAAGACAAAGACAGAAACAATGAAACAACAACAAGAAGAAGAGAAGAAAACACATATGTATATAAAGTTTGCGCTAGTGTGTTGTTGGGGGTGGGGCGACGGTGGCAGAGGCTGGCAAACGATCTGCCGAACAAAGGAGCGGCCAGCAACAGCAAAAGCGATGAGCGAAAAAACATCAACAACAACAACAAGCACTGTGTATAAGAAATGGAAAAAAAATTAAATAGAAGCGAAGCAGGCGAGCCAAGTCACGTTCGCGTTTCGCTGGGTCGAGTGATCTGATGTGTTGTCAGTGAGTGTAACGGGGGTAACGAAACAGCTGAGCGACAAAACGTGCCTATGCGAGAGTGTGTGTTGAGTGAGAGAGAGCGAGAGCGAGTGCGAGAGAGAGCAAGAGAGCAAGAATATGAGTGATCTAGCTGAGAGCAAAGAGTAATTGATTTGGAGTGAACTAGGTTATAAGAGAACGCAAACAAAGAGCAATTCAGCTAGAGCGAATGATAAAATTGAGTTCTCTGTACATAAGTGTATATGAGTATAAGAGCGCAGTCATGTTGACAGACAATCACTCAATCTTAGAGCGTTGCTACGCACAGCTGTGACTGATAATGCTAAGAGTAAAATGATAACGTGGGAACCGAGAAGAGAGCGTTTAGAAATATGAGCTCTTGAGTGTATTTTATATTGAGGCAAAGAGTTAATTGTGCGCTCTTCAGCGATCGTCACTGAGCACTGCGCTCAGTGGAATAGTGCTCACTCAGAGTGTGCGAGCAAACGGGAGAGCGACGATGAATAGCAAACGAGTTGAGGTAGTGTAGTTCGTGTTGTTTATGCCTGTGTGCATATAATATATACAAATTTATGTGTGTACACACACAGAGCGCAAACAGCGCAGCTGAGCTGAAAATAAAAAAATATATGTAGGTATATGTATGTATGTAGAAGGAAAAAAAACAACACATTTGTTTACGGCAAACAATAAATACTGTGCGCTGGCTTGGGGCCTGGGGCGTGTGGCAGGGGGGCAGCGTTGCATACTAACTAACATGCATGCATCTAGTGGCAGCATGTGGCACGATGTTTTGTCGTATCTGCATCTATACATTGATTTTATTATAGTTTTTCCTCTTATAGTGCAAGCACACTTATACACGACATATGTATATACTATGTGTGTGTGTGTGTGTGTGTGTGCGAGCGCTTGTGTATGGCGCAACGACCGATAGCTTGCTTATATACATACATATACATGCATATATGCCAGTATGTTTGTGTGTGTGTGTATGCAGCTATTTAGCTACTTATTTAGCTAAAGCTATAGCTGTAGCTGTAGCCATGCTCTTGAACAATTTACGCTAGAAAAAGTCGCTGCGCTATTTGCGACCTGCCTCACAACAATTTGCATACGCGCGTTCGTATACTTCACAGCAAACGCAGAAACACACACACATGTACACGCACACACAGGCTGCAGATCGAACGTGAGCGAGCGAGCGAGAGCAGCTACATAAGTACACTCACTTACACACACACACACATGCATACGTGCGCATTAATTGGGCGCATGCAATGGGCAAAAATTGGCTCATGTGTAATTTACTCGAAATTGTAACAATTTTTAAATTAAGTCACATTGTTTTTTATTTTTTTCATTTTGTATTTCATTTTTAACAGTGGATCAATAAACGAATTGCAGAATGAGCAGAGAGAGGGACACAGAGAAGCTGTGATTGGGCGAGAGGCCAAAGGCTTGTCGTTTGGCTGCTGTGCTGAGTGGGAGTGAGAGGGAGAGTATATAAATATATTCCAATTTGGAAGCAGCAGCTGGAACTGCAAATCTACTCAGTAGAAGCGTTTATACATGTTTGTATATGTATGTAGTTGTATAGGTGTGTATGAGTGTGTGTATTAGCAAATGTGGAAAATACATATACAGTCTGTCAAGAATGAGTTGACACACTGAAAAAAAATTGAATTTTTTGACTTTGGATGCAAATATCTAAGTCAATAATGCATAAAAATTATTTTTTTCAAATAGGAATATGTTTAATATTATTTCATTAATTTAAATATAAAAATAGAAAGCATAACATTCAATATGTAAAAAAAAAATCAACAAAAACAAAGAATACTCATAAATAACAGTGTCAATAATGTGTTGGCACNGTGCCAACACATTATTGACACTGTTATTTATGAGTATTCTTTGTTTTTGTTGATTTTTTTTTTACATATTGAATGTTATGCTTTCTATTTTTATATTTAAATTAATGAAATAATATTAAACATATTCCTATTTGAAAAAAATAATTTTTATGCATTATTGACTTAGATATTTGCATCCAAAGTCAAMAAWTTCAATTTTTTTTCAGTGTGCCAACTCATTCTTGACAGACTGTATCATACAGAAATATTAAAGAATGTATTTAAATTTAAGTAGACAAAAATAAAATTCTTATCTATGCCTAACTCATTTAATTTTTATTTATTTATTTTTTAAATTTTGTTGTTGCCGATAAGAAAAATTGTTTCTGTGCCTGGATAATTTATAGACAAGTCAAGCGCGAACCAAAATAAAATGATTATTTTGAGAAGGAAAAAAAAAATTATAAACAAACATCAACAAAGAAACACAAAATGAGTGGGGCTGTTAAAAAGAGAGTGAGAGAGAGAGGGAGAGATACAGAGAGGAAGAGTGAAAACACGGCGAAAAATGTTTAGTTCAGTCCGATTGGGCCGACCGCCAGACTGCAGCAATATCTTTTGATCTTTTGGCTGGGGTCCCTCGCAGTCCGTCAGCTACTTGCAGATACAGATACAGAGATACAGATACATCAACAGCTACAGATACAGAGACACAAATACATCAACAGCAACTAGAGACACAAATTGCAATTGGCAAAACAAATCGCGACTCAAATTGAAATGAAAATCGCATCGTAAAATTTCATATTATTTCATCTCGTTTTCTGGTTTTCTGTTTTCCGTTTCTTGTGTTTTGTTTTGTATCTTTCGAATACAATTTTCATGCTGCCGCTGTTGGCTTTACGTTCGCACATTCGTTCAGTGGCTTTTCACACAGTTTTCTAATTTGTTTCGATTTGACGCAAGTTTTGCACTCGATTTGGCAACTTTCATTTCGAATTGCATCAGTTCATGACTTTTTCTCTGCATCTCCCTGCCCCAACGCCACATCGCCCCATCTCCCTCTCTCTCTCTCTCTCTCTCACACACACTCTCTGTCTCTGCTCGAACGGCAGCCCAATTGATTGTCAACGCCTGCTGCCAACATTGGCGCTCGTCCATCAATTCGAAATGCATTTGAATGGGAGCCAAGATTTGTGGCAACGCAGCAAATGCAGAAGAAGAAGAAGAAGCAGCAGAAGCAGAAGCACCACTTCGCCATCCATTGCAAGAAATCAAGAAACGAAACACGCTGCTGCTCTTGATTTATTCGCCCATAAAACTTACATAAATACAATACCAACAAGCTATAACTGAACGACTAACAGATACCCTAACCACATACAAATGAAAGCTGTATTGATGGAGTAAGGAAAGGTTAAAGATACAGAAACGGAACGACTGACAGATACTCTAACCACATCAAAAATGAAGAGATAGATGAAAGACTCTTCCATATAAAAATGAACGACTAATA